TTGTGTTGCTGTAATGGCCTGGGTTGGTTGGCCTCTAGCTAGGAGGTGGAGCTTTCAGGAGAGCACCAGCTGTGATAGTAGTAGGGGACTCTAAGTCTGCCCTAAGATGGCTAGGGTAACTATTTTGGCTTCTCAGGTGATGGGGGCTGTGGGCGGGGGATAAAGCTCCCCAGAGTTTCTATGTTTTGTGTTCAGCTACCAGAGCAGGTAGGGAATGCCATCAGGTGGCAGCAAGGTCTGGGCTCAGACTCTCCTTGGACAGGGTTTGCTGAGGCCACTGTGAGGGATGGGGCTTGGTTCTCAGGTCAATGGGGTTATGTTCCATAGGGGATCTTGGCCCCCTCTGTTGTATTATATAGTTCACCAGGGAAGTCAGGGATAGCCAGTAGCAAGAGGCCTGACTCAGCTCCCATGCAACTGGTGAGGCCACATATCCTGCAGTGGCCCACTCAGACCTTGCCCCCCCTCAGTTGGTGGCAGTTCCTGTGCTTCTGCACTTGTTTATATCTTCAGCAGCTCCTCTTTGTTCCTTGGACTCCACTCAAGAAAATTTGTGCCCAGTTGAAACCACCACCAGTTTCATCTGGGAGCGTTCTTCACTCTGCAACCCTTCTGCAATTCTGCTGATTGTCTTCCTCAAGGGTTTTGGTGAGATATAGTTAGGGATGGCTTCTCTGTGCTTGAGCTGGAGACTGGAAGTGCATACAAGGCACTTCCTGCTGCTACTTCTACTTTTATATTTTGTGTGACTCCCTAAATTCCTTCCATCTTTAGGTAAGTTTAAATTCTGCTGTGATCTGGATTTTCAGATTCCCAGTAGGGGTGTGTGTTTGGAGTTAGGTTTTCTCCCTTTTACACTTTGGGAACTCACAGTTTTTCTCCTGTTTCACAGAATTTGCAGTGGCATGCCTGTTTTGCCAATTTTTAAATAAAGTTGTTTGTTTTCTCATTGTTGAGCATTAAGGGTCTTTGTATATTTTTTTATTAGAAATTCCCTATCAGGTATGTGTTCTTCAAACATTTTTTCCTGGTCTGTAGCTTGTCTTTTTACTCTCTTAACAGTGTATTTTGCAGAAAAGAAGTTTTTAATTTTAATGAAGTCCAACTTATCAACTTCATTACATGGATTATTTTTTGTTGTTATATTTACAAACTCATTGTGAAAACCAAGATCACCTAGATTTTCTCTTGGATTATTGATGTGTGGTTTTATTTTATACCCTAAGAGAATATTTTGGGTTAGAAAGTTCTAACCCCAGGTACCTATGAGTCCAACCTTATTTAGAAATAGGGTCTTTGCAGATGTAAGCTGAGGTCCTAATGCAATGACTAGTGTCCCTGTGAAACAGGGAAATTTGGACACAGACAGAGGGAGAAATTCATGTGACAGCAGAGGCTGAAATTGGAGTGGGATGTCTATAAACCAGGGAACATCAAAGATTGCTGAAACCACCAAAAGTTAGGAAGAGACAAGGAAGCATCCTTCGCTGGGGCCTAAGAGAGGGCATGGCCTTGCCACCACCTTACCTTCAGACTTCTGCCCCCAGAACTGTGAGAGAATACATTTCTGATTTGTTAAGCCATCCCTTTGTGGCAATTTGTTATGGCAGCCATCGGACATGAATACATATTTTGATACCAGGAAGTCTTTTTCTGTTGTAATAAGTACCTAAAAACATGGAAGTGGCTTTGGAATTGTGTTGACTGGAAGAATTTTAATATGAAAAGCCTAGACTGCTTTGAAAAGACTATTGGTAGAATTACAGATGTTAAAGGTGATTCTGGTGAAGGCTCAGAAGAGAGGGGAATTATAGAAAAATCATCTATCGTAGATTCTCTGCATCTTAGAGAATACATATATTGTCATGAACAGAATGTTACTAGAAATATGAACTTTAAAGATGCATCTTGTGAGGCCTTAAAAAGGAAGTGGGTAAACATATTATCAGACACTGGAGGAAAAGTGATCCTTATTACAGAGTGGCAGAAACTTGGCTGAACTGTGTTTTACGTATGGGTGGAAAGCAGAATTTGTAGGCAATGAACTTGTATATTTAGCTGAGGAGATTTTTAAGTCGAGCATGAAAGATGGGGCCATGGTTTCTCCTCCCTGCTTATAGTGAAATGCAAAAGGAAAGAGATAACTTGAGGAAGGAATAGTTAAGCAAAGGCACCAGCACTTGATAGGTTTGAAAGTTCTCAGCCAATTCAGGAAACATACTCTGGAAAAAGGACCATGGATGGGCGTGGCCGAACAAACATTCACTGAAAAGATTACATGTGTGACTTATAGATCCAGACAGCCCTCTCAGGCCCTGGAAACCTAATGAAAATTTACCTGCCATGTTTTGGACTTGTTTGAGACCTGTGAACCATTTTTTCCTTCTAGTTTCTCCCTTTTGGAAGGGGACCATTTGTCTTATGCCTGTTGTATTGTGGAAGCAGATAACTTGTTTTGTGGGTTTCAGTGTCCATGGGAGAGAAACTTTGCACCAGGATGGACTATACCCACGGTCTCACATATACCTGATTTAGATGATTTAGGAGATGATATTTGGGACATTATAATTGATATTTAGAGGCAACTCGGGACTTAAAGTTGATGCTGGAATGGGTCAAGTCTCCTGGAGATGTTGAAATGGGGTGAATGTATTTTGCACACAGTAAGGACATGACTTTTGGGGGATTGGAGAGAAAACTATGGTGGTTTAAATTGTGTGAGCCAGTCGAATCATGCTGTCCAAGGATTTCTGGTAAACACCAACCAACAGGAAGAGACAAGGAAGTATCCTCCCCTAGAGCCTTCTGGTAGAGTGCAGCCCTGCTGACACCTTGTTTTAAGCCTTCTAGCTTCGAGATCTGTTTTCTCTTCTTTTAAGCCATCCAGTTTGTGGTACTGTGTTATGGTAGCCCTTGGGCACCAACACAGTTATCTTCTAGAAGTTTGAGAATTTTTATGTTTTACATTTAGGCCTGTGATTCATTTTGAGTTAATTTTTGTGAAAGGTGTAAGGTCTGTTCAAGCATCATTTGTTGAAAAGAATATTCTTATGTCTTTGCTTCTTTACTAAAGATCAGTTGACTACATTTGTGTGGGTACATTTATATGGACACTCTATTCTGTTCCATTGATCTATTTGTCTATTCTTTCAACAGTACCTTGTGGTCTTGATTGTTGCAGCTTTATAGTAAGTCTTGAAATCCTGTATTACCTGTCTTCTAACTTTGTTCTGCTTTAGTATTTTGTTGCTCATTTTGGGTTTTCTACCTTTTCGTATAAACTTTAGAAAGAATTTGTTGATATCCATGAAACAATTTGCTGATATTTTTGTTGGAATTGCATTGACTCTATAAATCATTTTGGGAAGAATTGAGGTCTTAAAAATATTGAGTTTTTCTATCCATGAACATGAAATATCTCTCCATTTGTTTAGATATTTGCTTTCCTTTGTCAAAGTTTGGTAGAGTTACTCATATAGGTCCTGAATATATTTTGTTAGATTTATACTTATATATTTCATTTTTTGGGGGGCAGCTAATGTAAATGATATTGTGTTTTAAATTTTCAATTCCAACTGTTAATTGCTGGTTTATAGGAAAGGAATTGACTTTTGCATATTAACTTTGTATTCTGCAGCCTTGCTATAATTGCTTATTAAGTTCCAGGAGTTTTTATTTATTTATTTATTTTGAGATGGAGTCTCACTGTGTTGCCCAGGCTGGAGTGCATGGTGTGATCTCAGCTCACTGCAACCTCTGCCTCCTGGGTTCAAGTGATTCTTCTGCCTCAGCCTCCCATGTAGCTGAGAATACAGATGTGTGCCACTATGCCTGGCTAATTTTTTGTATTTTTAGTAGAGACAGGACTTCGCCATCTTGGTCAGGCTGGTCTCAAACTCCTGACCTCAAGCGATCCACCTGCCTCAGCCTCCCAAAGTGCTGGGATTACATGTGTGAGCCACCGTGCCTGGCTAAGTTCCAGGAGTTTTTATTGTTGTTGTTTATTCGTTGAGGTACTTTATATAATATCCTGTCATCTGAGAAGCAAGGCAGTTTTATTTTTTCCTTTTCAACTGTATGCCTTTTTTATTGAATTAGTCAGAAATTGTATATGATGTTGAATAGGAGTGTTGAAAGAGAACATCCTGGCCTTGTTGCCTATCTTAGAGGAAAGCCTCTAGTTTCTCACGGTTAAGTTACCTGTAGATTTTTTTGTAGATATTTTTTTATCGAGTTGAGAAAGTTTGCCTTTAGTCCTAGTTTTCTAAGATTTTTTTTTTTAAATCAAGGATGGAATTGGGATTTTGTCAAATGCTTTTTTGCATCTATTGATATGATTATATGAATTGTCAAGAATCAGTGAGGTACTTTGCTAGATGTCCACTAAACTGTGAGCTCTTTGGAGGCAGAGGTTATTGCATCATCTCTGGATCTACATCTCTGATACAGTGACTGGCACATTGTAAACACTCAAAGCCTGCTGAATTGATTTAGCGTTTTCCTTTCACAATCAAGAGCTGTGATCACACACCTGAAAGTCATACTTGTGGCTCAGTACATGGAAGGTATGGTTGCCAGGCAACCACATCCAGCCTGGGTTGTTTGGTGACTGGAGAAGGTATGGGGCTGGTGGTCTCCAAAGCTTCCCAATCACTTTTTTAGAAATACCTGATTGAGGCTAAGGACATACCTCTTTCTATTTATTTTTCTGTTTGTTATTTTCATCTATTTTTTTCTTGAATTAGTTAATCACCATGCAACTTTAGCCACTCACTTCTAAGTAGCATAGAGTCCCCCAAAACATGAATACCATTTGCTATTCTTTAGGAACAGCTTTATTACCAGAAGTGAGTGGCTTGGGCATCACTGCCTTGTCACAGGGAAGCGTTTTTCACCTTTGACCTCATATCCGACTATGAGGAACACAGAGGAGGGAGAAGGTGGGGAAGATGAGCCAGGAGAGGGAAAAATTTCAAATGTGGAGAACTTGGTTCTTTTTTTTTTTTTTAACCAGTCTGCAGAAACTCAAAGTTCAAACCATTAAATGATGAGAAAGCTAGAAGGTTGGCTTTCTCTTCTCCCTATTAACATATCATGGGGAAGATGTCTACAGAGGATAGAAGAGTAGGAACATGCCTTTTCTTTTTCCTCTGTTGGCTTCTAAAAGGAGCCTGACTACAGCTCTCAGTTCAGATAAGAGTATTATAAGAATCACTAATGGTCTTCAGTGTTTTAAGGAGAAAGATTATGGATATAAAAATTTTTGTATCAGCGAAAGATCCCTATTGCTGATAGCCCTTTTCTAAATCTTTTATCTTACAGGTTAAGTGGCTAAAGATTAAGGACAAGGTTGGCCTTTAGACATATGTGGACCAATGGATATGATCTGAGTAAGTCAGTAAGTTATCTCTCTGACTTCTTTTCATTTTCTTAGTGCAGATGTTTCCTTGTCCTTTAGGTGGCATATTGGTTTTTCTGGAAACCATTGTGAAACCGTTCATATCTACTTAAAGGGAACTTATTTGAAGTCTGAGTCTTGAGGGAATAGGCAGAACAGGCATGTTGGAAGGAAAGCATGAGTCTTAGGTGAGTTTCAGGTGGGAGGGACAACTGTATGTTATAATTTTACTTGGAGTTTTCCCGGGTTTGATGATCTGTTATTGAGTCTAATTTTAGTCCTTATTTATATATGTCCATTGACTGTATATTATGAGACATTTGTCTGGAATTCCTTTTTTCATGATAGCAGAACAAGTTAAATTTTGTTAGGTATAGTTCTATATTAAGAAGATGTTAACTTGTTACTTTTAAAAAACATTTAGTGCAAAAATGGTCAGATTTAGGTAAGCCTTGTATGCAAAATTATTTGCAGTAAAAATACTGCAACATTATACAGTTCATTTTTCCTTCTTTTGTAGAGATGGCTGTTCTATGATTACCCTGGGATGCTGTTTAGGTATTGCTGTGTAGTTTTTTTCTTTCCTGGGAAGTATAAGGCAGGAACTTAGGAGGTAAGATATAACTAAGTAGGGTCTGTTAATGAGGATGACAGTGTATTTCCCATGATAGCCTTTATCAGGGCTCTCTAAGATTACTCCCAGTTTCAGTGATTGGATAGAAGAACTCATAGGATTCAGCAGGTAGTCACATTCATGGCTAAGATATATTACACTGAAACAGTACAAAGCAAAGTCAGTAAAGGGAAATCAGATAAAAGCTTCCCAGAATCTTCTAGTGGATTCACATAGGATGCACTTAATTTTCTGAATGACAAGGTATGGAAAACTGTGTGAAGTGTTGTCTATCAGGAAAACTCATCTGAGCCTAAGAGTTTAGGGTCTTTATCAGGGCTGTCAGTGTGACTGGTAGCAGTCATTGAAATTCCAGATACCTAGAAGGAAAGCAGATGTTTTAGGAAAAATGAGCTACTTGACAGACAGACAAACAGATGGACCTGAGGTTCATTTAGAAAAATTTTATATTAGTGTAGGCAGTGGTTTTACCAAGTTCCCAGATATCAGCCAAGGACCAGCTTTGTAAGCAGGCATTCCTAAGGAGCGTAGTAGTCTTGGACCTGCTAGGTGAAGTCATGAACTCTTGTCTGCACACATATGTAATGTACATACATTCCTGACTGACATGATCTCAGTTATGGAAATAGTTCAGCTGCACCCTATAAATAAGTAGTTCTTTGGATTATGGAAGCCAAGGTCTACTAATGAAATGATGCCCCAAAGAGTTAACCAGTGGCAAAGAGAAATTTTTGAGCTTATAGGATTGGTTGATAAAAACAACTTTCTGAAAAGCTGAAATTCTCTCTTCTTTTAAGATAACAAAACTGGCTGAAATCAGTTGAAACCAATATAGCCAACTAGAGTCTACACAGAATGAGCTTGCTGATGCCACAGCCCAAATTTCTGCTGTGTGTTTTGTACTAACTCTCCCCGAATTTACATATGTGACCCATGAGATAGCATAAGAGATACTGCACATACCGAAGGACTCTTCAGACCCCAGTTTCCGTCTACGAATCTCCTACTCATTTCAAAATTCACTCCCTAAGCATTTTCTAATAAAAATGATGCCTTTAAGCCAGTACAGGGAGACGGATTTGGGCTAGACTCCTGTCTCCTTGTTCTTAGCACCTACAAAAAAAATAGTCCTTTTCTCAAAAACCTGGTGCCGAAGTATTGGCTTCTAACACACTGAGCAGTGAACTCTTTTACTTGGAAACACTGAGTAGAGGTACAGGAATTGTGTATCTTGAAGTAAAGCATCCTCTTATAATTACTGATACACTTCCAAAAGAGAAAGAGAGGAATGTAGGAAGGAGGGAAGAAAAGAAGTTTCAACAGACAGATGGACAAACAGATGGACCTGAGGTTCAGGAGACTGGAGGGGATATGTCAAAATAATTTATATCATGAGTGAAACAAACAGTAGAAGGTTGTTTACCTTGGCGCCTTAATAGCAGAGGCATCCAGATAACAGAGTCATTTTGGAAAGACTTCTTAAGTCATTCATCACTTTTACTTGGACCATTCTAATAATTGAAAAAGTATTTGCTCAGAATGTAGCTCATCCAAATATATCATCAGTCCCTGGGTTTCAAGGGGTGAAGCATTGTTGACATAGGGTTCCAGTGCCTTTGGAACCTTAAGTCTAACATTATTCCAATGAAGGCTCAGAGTAATCTTTAATCAGCTTGCTGTTAACACAGATGGTAACAGTTTGTTCTCATGTCTATGATGGATTGGTAACAACTATTTTTTAATGTTTAAACTTTCATTAATAACTTAATATTATCTTTGTACAAGTGTTTCTATTTTTAATTGAAGTACATTATCTTTTGTGGCTTTTTAAAAATCAATTGTACTGAAGTGTAATTATGTATAAAGCTTTTAACTTTGCAAGCAAAGACGATTTTCTCTTTTCTGTCCCAGTGTGAATCCTTTATTTTATTTTTCTTGTTTTGCCTGACTGCATTGCCCAGAGCTGTCAGTGGCTCTGGAGGTAGCACTTCAGCACTTCACTTCTCCCTGCTTCCCTCCGAGTCCCCAGCCATCATGCTCACATACTGCAGAGAATGATTGATTAATAAACCACTGAATTACGTTGCTTAATGGTTTATAATCAGAAAAAGCAACACCATCATTTCTTATAAAGAACTAAAAACCATTCTTAAAGGGCATAAAACATGCCAAATAATTACTAGTAGTCAAAAAAGCTTTTGCTGAGAAATTAATCTCAAGAAATATAGATTTCAGAGGAAGGAACTATTATCCCTGGGGTGACCACAGGTAGGGCAAGAGTCAGTACTATTGAGCATTTGAAACTTCTTTCATTCCCTTCTCTTCAGGGTAGTGTAGGTCTCAGGGAGTAGTGTATGATAGAACTTTCATAAGAATTTGAAGTGGCTCCAGCCCTGGTGCTAAGAACTGCCAGGGGCCCAAGGTGCTGAGCATGCCATTTTAAATTGTATATCTTGGCATCTTACACTCAACCCAAAGTCCACTGTGAAGAAATAATCTTTGTTAGCATCTGCTGCAGTTTTGCCAGTTTGTGATAGACTGAAAATAGTGTCCCAGCTGAGAATTTGGGAATATGTACAGTGTTCATTGACTCCCCAATTGTGTCACCCTGACACCTGAGGCAAGGTGTTTTGCTTTTGTTTCCTGAGCAAAACAAACACTTGTATTTTTTCTTTTCTTTTTTTTTTATTTTTAATGATTAGATAGGATCACTTTGTGTCATATTGGAGCTTTTGTTCCTCTATCCCCAGTGCTCTATCACAGAGTAAGTACCGTAATACTATTTCAAGGATTTCCCTTTTATCAGGGCAAATTCTCTACTTTTTATACTGTTGCACCTTCCCCAGGAGTTGGAGGGAAACCTTTATCTTATAGACCTGACCACTGGTTCCCAAATATCTTTCACAGTCTTTCCCTCAGGGACCAAGTGCCTATATCATTCAAGTGACACCTCTGTGACTTCTCAAGAGTTCTTGATGTGGACATGCAAATTAGTTACCTGGTGTTACATACACATTCTTATGGAATTAACTAATTAGTGCCTTGAACATTTCTTGCATATCTCCAATGTGTTAGTCTAGTGGTTGGATATTCAAAAGTGAAAATCTTAGTTTCTGTCCTCAAGATACTTATGGTCCAACCTGAGGCGATGAGTCTGGAAATCATTATAAAACATGGAGCTTATAGGGGAAGCACTTCCAGGGCATATTTAGCCAAGCTTGAGGGTGGGGGGAGGTGGGAAATATGGTAAAAGCTTGCACTATATTTTCTGAAAAGTTTTCTTCTGCAAATGAAGATTTTGCTTTTATTATATAGTTTACAATTTATATTGTAGACCTCATAAACTACCTAAAATTTCAGTACATATATGTTGATGTTGACTTGTATGATCTTATATTATTACTGATTTACTATAGTAGCTGCAACTCAAAATTGAATTAAATGTTAATCATGTAAATATTGCTTTGTTTTGTCTATTTTAATATATACTAGAAACATGTCAGGAAACGGAAATCTATCTATTTAATTCTTGTGTTTCTGTAGGATTATCTGTGATTTACTGCACTGTTATTTACTAAAATACTAGGATTAGGCATTCATTTCTGATCAAAGCTGTTCTGATACTTTTATGGATGGTATGAACAACTGACTGTTGGTATGGATTGATAAGGATTTTAGTCTATTCATCTGTGCACTAAAGAGATCTTACTAATGTGTGTGTGTATTCATATAAAGAGGATAAGTCATTGGGGTGGAAGGCCATTCACATATTTGTGGAACGCAAGATATAACATTTTTAAATCCCAGTATTTGAATTACTAAGAATGTCTCCAGTTATCAAGGAGTGTAAAACAAAATTTATTTTGTCTTTAATTAAAATTGTACTATTTTATATATTTTCAATCACATACTTGGGAGACAGAAGCTTAGGTGTCATTCTTAGAGGTTCTCAGTTAATTCTGAGGTCTTCAGTATCTCATGTCTGCTTCTAGGGAAGGCTCCTCGTGAAATCTGTTACCTTACTCTCAGTCACAAGACCACTGCCATCGTTTTGTTTTTGTTTTTAACACAGAGTCTTGCTCTCTTGTGCAGGCTGGAGTACAGTGGCGTAATCATAACTTATTGCAGCCTCCATCTCCCAGGCTCAAGTGATCCTCCTGCCTTAGCTGCCCAAGTAGCTGGGACTACAGGTGAGTGCCACAATACCTGGCTATTTTTTTTTTTTTTCATTTTTGGTAGATAGAAGATCTCACTTGGTTGCCCAGGCTGGCCTCAAACTCTTGAACTCAAGTGATCTTCCGACCTTGGCCTCCCGAAGTGCTGGGATTATAAGTGTGAGCCACTGTGCCTAGCCCTGTCCTCCTATTTAAAAAATATATTCTTCCCCTTGTCAAAGTCATGTTTTTTAAAAATTAAAAATGCGACTCATACAAATTTGAAATGAAACCAGGTTAAAGATTTTACTCAATAGTATTAATTAGTGAAGAAACCAGGAAGATGGCAAAGGTAGTTCAAAGAACAGTTTGAGGATCTAGGTTTTTCACTGACATTTTAAACCAATGTTAGAGTAAGAATGCTAGATTAGATTAAGAAAACCTGGTTAATGCCAGACAGACATAAATTATAATCTTTACTGTTACCTTATCAGACAGAAATTATTTGTATCCCTGCTGGACTTTTAATCGGTAGTGAACAATGAAATGAATAAAGTACAATTTCCCCACGTAAGTAATCTTTGGGATGGCCCGTCGTTATTGTATGACATTGAAGGTACATGACACTTATCTTTTTGCCTTACCTTCACATTTTAAATTTATTTATTTAGCTACAGGGTCTGGCTCTGTTGCCCAGGCTGGACTGCAGTGGCATGATCTTGGCTCACTGCGTTTTTCACCTCCTGGGCTCAAGCCATCCTCCCACCTCAGCTTCTGGAGTAGCTGGGACCACAGGTACATGCCACCACACCTGACTAATTTTTGTAGAGACAGGGTTTCACACAATTGTCCTGGCTGGTCTTGAACTCCTGAGCTCAAGAAATCCTCCTGCCTCGATCTCCCAAAGTGCTAGGATTGTAGGCATGAGCCACCACACCCAGCCTTAAATAATTTTTTAACACCTATATCTCAAAGTTTTAAAATAAATCTATTTTACAACATTAATTTTAGATTCAGATTATAGGAATACCATTTTATTTGCAGGTATTTAATGGAAAGATCTCCAGACAAAAAGTATTCTTGGTTTTAACCAATGGCAGCAATGTAGCATGGCCTACAGGCCACTTAAGGCAAGGATTAGAAAAGAAAAAATATTTTGTGTGAGAACTTTTTATAGATTGAATGAACAAGAACTCCTTGAAGATGGGCTTTGTAATTAATTCTTATTTATTCAGTATTGAATTCTCAGTACCTAATTTAGCTTAGGTGTGGCATTTAAATAATTGAGTTTCCATTGAGTGACACTGATTGAATTTGTGTGTGTGTGTGTGTGTGTGTGTGTGTGTGTGTGTGTATTTATATAAAGAGATCCATCATTGGAGTGGAGGGCCATTCACATATTTATTTGTGGAATGCAAGGCATAATATATTTAAATGCTAATATTTGATAAATAAATGTATCTCTAGTTCTCAAGGAATATCTAGAAAATATTTGATAAAATTTCAAATGAAATTTATTTTAATTGTCTTTAAAATTACACTGTTTTAAATATTTTAAATTGATGAATAATAATATGTCAAAGCTATGATAGCTCCAATTGTCTAAAAGAAAAATCTTTGGCTTTGTGTGTTTTACCAGGTGAACAAAAATTGTTTCTTGGTCCCCAGGATACTAATTAGACCTTTGGCCTGGCTCACAGGACTTTAAGGCTCCATATCTGAAGAAGCCTTTTACCAGTCTCATTTGGGGGATGGAGACAACATGTCTTCACCCAGGGACTTTAGAGCAGAGTCTGGTAGGTGCATCATCCACTTTTCTGGATATGGGATCAGAAAGAGTTATAACAGTGCCTCTCAAACTATAGATTTGCATAGGGACCACCTGTGGATCATTATCCTGTATATTGTGATTGCCTGTGTCTTCATGGGGGAGGGGAGGCAAGACTCTGCATTTCTTATAAGCCATCACACTTAGAGAACCAACAGTTAGACTCTAGTGTTTTACTTTACTCTTTACAAATAACATTTTTTTCCTGATTATAAATATAATATAGGGTTATTGTGAAGAATTTTGGAAGTACAAAAAAACACCAAAACAGACAAAACAACAAGACAATAAAAACAACCTGTAATCTGCCACGAAGCTGTTTGTTTCCATAATTTTGTGAGATGTGAACTCAAAGCATACACATTTCTAAAGTTTTTGATACATCATACTAATGCTATGTTTTAGTTAAAACTTAGCTGTCTCCTAGCCAACCTATATTGTTATTGTCTTGCTTAAAATATTAGCAGCTTGCCATCATTTTTCAGTATTTCTTTTATGCCTTTTCTCATTCCTTTTACATTCAGCCCATCTTCTATACACTCTTCTACCTGCCCTCCTTGCCATTATTGTTGCTTCCTCCCTAGAGGTGTTTTTCCAATCTTTATTGAGGTATAATTGACAAAAGTTGTGTATATGTAAGGTATATAACTTGATGTTTTGATTTGTCTGTACACTGTGAAATGATTACCAAAATTAAGCTAACATATTCATCACCCCACATAGTTACCATTTTCTTTCTATGTGTATGTGTGTATTACAAACATAAGATCTACCCTCTTAGCAAATATCTTTACAATACAATATTGTATGTATTATGCTATACATCAGATCTTCAGAACTTAATCATCTTGTATAACTGATATTTGATGCAATCTGACCCACGACTCCCCATTTCCTCCTTCCCCCATGCCCTGGCAACCACAATTCTGCTATCTGCTTTTGTGAGTCTGGATTCCATCTATAAGTAAGATTATGCAATATTTGTGTAAGGTGAAGGATAGGAGTCTAAGTTTATTCTGCATAGTAATATCCAGTTGTTCCCAACACCATTTATGGAAGAGATTATCTTGTCCCCAATACATGTTCTTTGTGTCTTGTTGTGAAAGAGTTGACTGTAAACATATTAATTTATTTCTGAGTTCTCTAGTCTATTCCAGAGGTATATGTGTCTGTTTTTATGCCAGTGTCATGATTTTGTGGTTACTATAGATTTGTAGTGTATTTTGAAATCAGGGAGTGTAATACCTCAACTCTGTTCTTGTTTTTTTGTTTTTATTTTGTTTTTGTTTTTCTTGGCTTAGAATTGCCTTGGCTACTTGGAGTATTTTTTGTACTTCCATATGAATTTTAGGATTTCTAAAATTTCTCGGAAGAATGTCATTGGTATTTTGATAGAAATTATATTGAGCTCTCAGATTGCTTTAGTTTTGTGGTCATTTTAAAAATATTTACTTTTTCATTCCATGAACATGGGATGTCTTTCCATTTGTTTGTGTATTCTTCAATTTATTTCATCAATTTTTTATAGTTTCCATTGTAGCAATCTTATATATCTGATTAAATTGATACCTAGATAATTTTTTTGTAGTTATTGTAAATGAGATTGCTTACTTGATTTCTTTTTTAGGTAGTTTGTTATTGGTATATAGAAATGCTACTGATTTTTGCATGTTGATTTTGTATTCTGCAGCTTTACTTGTTTATCAGTTCTAAGAGTTTTTGGTGGATTCTTCAGGTTTTTGCATTTATAAGAGCATGTCATGTGTAAACAGGGACAAATTTGACTCTCCTTTTCAATTTGTATGCCTTTTATTTGTTTCTCTTGCCTAATTGCTCTGGCAAGGACTTCCAGTATGGTATAGTTTAGGTGTTTATCTCTTCCAATTATGTTGAAATGTAATCTTCAACCTGGTAGGATATGTTGGATCATGGGGGCGGATCCCTCATGAGTGGCTTGGTACTATCCCTCTGGTGACGAGTGAGTGCTTGCTTAGCTCATGTGAGATCTGGTTGTTCAAAGGAGTCTGGAACCTCCCCTTTTCTCTTGCTTTCTCTTTCACCATGTGATATGCTGACTCCCCATTCACTTTTTGCCATAACTGTAAACCTCCTGAGGTCATCACTAGAAGCAGATATCAGCACCATGCTTCCTATACAGCCTGCAGAATCATGAGCCAAAACAAACCTCTTTTCTTTATAAATTACCCAGCCTTAGACATTCCCATATAGTAATGCAAACACACTAACACAGAGTATTATGGGTTTTTTAAAAGAGTATTTTTAAAAATAACATCTGCATGGTTCTCTTACTGATTAATGAAGATAATAAAGTACCATGGTCATTTATACATCTGTATAAGGGCCATGATTTTAATGTTTCTGAAAACTATCCTTTAACAGTTGCAAACTTCTATGAAAAAGCTGATTTTAATGATAAGTCAATTATGCTAGAATATGGAAAAATATGGAAATCTACCCCAATTCTTTTGTAGACGATTTCTTTTTTTCCCAACTTTTATTTTAGGTTTGGGGGTACATATGCAGGTTTGTTACATGGGCAAATTGCTTGTCCCTGTGGTTTGGTGAACAAATGATTTCATCCCCCAAGGGGTAGTGATTCACTTTGGATAATGACGTCCAGCTGCATCCATGTTGCAGCAAAGGACATTATTTCATTCTTTTTTTTTTTTTTTTTTTTTTTTTTTTGAGACAATCTTGCTCTGTTGGCCAAGCTGGAGTGCAGTGATACGATCTCGGCTCACTACAACCTCTGTCTCCCAGACTCAAGCAATTTTTCTGCCTCAACCTCCCGAGTAGCTGGGATTACAGGCATGTACCACCACACCCAGCTAATTTTTGTATTTGTAGTAGAGACAGGGTTTCACCATACTGGCTAGCCTGGTCTCAAACTCCTAACCTCAGGTAATTCACCTGCCTCAGCATCCCAAAGTGCTGGTATTACAGGCATAAGCCACTGCACCTGGCTATGATTTTATTCTTTTTATGGTGTGTATGTACCACATTTTATTTAGTCCACCATTGACAGGCATGTTAGTTCATTCTATGTCTTTGCTATTGTGAAAAGTTCTGTGATGAACATACATGTGCATATGTCTATATGACAGAACAATTTAAGTCCCTTCATATACCCAGTAATGGGATTGCTGTATCAAATAGTAGTTGTTTTATGTTCTTTGAGAAATCTTCAAACTGCTTTTCACAGTGGCTGAACTTACATTCTCATCCCTTTTCTCTGCAACCTCATACACATTTGTTTTTGTTTGTTTGTTGTTTGTTTTGTTTACTTTTTAATGATAGCCACTCTGACTTGTGTAAGATGGTATCTCATTGTGGTTTTGATTTGCATTTCTCTGATGATTAGTGATATTGAGCATTTTTTTCATATGCTTCTTGGCTAGGTATATGCCTTCTTTTGAAACATGTCTACTCATGTCCTTTGCCCATTTTTTAATGGGATTGTTTGCTTCTTGCTTGTTCATTTGTTTAACCTCCTTGTAAGTTCTGGATATTAGACCTGTGTTTCTGCCAGGTTTTGGTATCAGAACAATGCTGGCCTTATGGAATGAGTTAGGGAGGAATCCCTCTTCCTAATTTTTTGAAATAGTTTCAGTAGGATTCGTACCACCTCTTGTTTGTACATCTGGTAGAATTTGACTATGAATCCTTCTGGCCTAGGGTTCGTTCTGATTGGTAGGTTTTTAAAAATTACTGATTCGGTTTCTGATTTAATATCTATTCCATAGCCTAGGAATCAAGGAGTAATTTCAAGTTTCATGTCTTATTATTTAAGAAACACATTTTGTAAGGCTGTAGCTGCCGTAGATAGTGATTCCTCTGATGGCTCTGGACAAAACCTTATGGAAATAACTCACCATTCTAGATGCCATTAAGAACATTTGTGATTTATGGGAGGAGGGCAAAATGTGAACATTAACAGGAGTTTGGGAGAAGTTTACTTTAATCCTCATGGGTGACTTTGAGGGATTTAAGACTTCAGTGCAGGAAGTACTATCCGAAGTTTTAGGCATCCACTGGGGGTCTTGGAACACATTCCCTGTGTGTAGGCAGGGACTGCTTTACCACTTCACATATCGTTGTAGGAACATAGGTTATATCCATTTCCTCTTACCTGCTTTTCATGCTATTATTGATATCAATTTTATTGTGAGTGTTATATACCCTATAATAGATTGTTATTATTTTTTCTTAACATTGAGTTATCTTTTAAAGAAATTAAAACATGTAAAAGAGTATGTTTTATGTGCCCATATATTTCTTCATTCCTTTGTATAGGTCTGTATTTTCATATTTTATCCTTTTCCTTCTGCCTGAAAAACTTCCTTTAATTTTTTGTTGTTGTTTTTTAGGGCAGGCTGGATATTATCTTAGCTTTTATTGGTCTGTAGAAGTCTTAATTTTTGAAATATATATTTTCAGGGTATAGAATTCTATATTGACAGTATTTTTTTTTCCAATACTTTAAAATGTCTCACGATTGTCTTCTAGCTTGCATGATTTCTAATGGGAAATCTGTCATTCTTATCTTTTTCTAAATTTAATGTGTTTGTTTTCTCTGGCTTTTTTTCTTTTCAGCAATTTGAATATGACATGCATGAATGTGATTTTTCTATAAGTTTCTATATTACACTTGTATTTTATTGACCTTCTTTGGTCTGTTGGTTTATAGTTTTTATCTAGTGTAGAAACATTTCAGTTATTATCTCTCCATATTTGTTTTACTTTTGTCATTCCATTTTCAGGAATTTTAGTACAGTTGGTGTTGTCCCAGTTTGCTGAGTCTCTGTTCAGTTTCTTTTTTTCCCCTACTATGTGCTTCATTTTGGATATACTCTTGCTGTATATTGACAGACATTGATTTTTTTCCTTCTCTACTACCTCATCTATTGTTAATTTCTTTTAGTTCGTACATTGTTTCTAGAAATTTCAGTAGATCTTATTTTTACATGATTTATATCTTTTTATTGTATCATGTTTATCTTTATTTTCTTGAGCACCTTTTAAAAATTTATAATAGTTTGTTAAAAGTTATTTTTTCCGTATTTTACCATCTGTCATTTCTAAGTGCATTTCTATTGATTGATTGATTTGGCTATGGGTTATACTTTTCTATTCCTTTGCATAGCTGTTAATAGTTGACTACGCATTGTGAATTATATGATTTTGATGGTAGTTTTTTAAACATTTTTCTTTAAAGAATGTAGGGTATTTTCTGCCTTGTAGTTATGTTACTTGAAGTTTAACCTTATCCTGTCTGAGGCTTGCTCTTCACCTTTTTATAGGTGGCCCTGAGGAGCTTCTCTTCTAGGGACAGTTTTACTATTAAGAGGTATCTCTTTGTGCATTGGTCTCAATGCCCCCTGAATTACAGGTTCTTCTCATTCTGGCTCATATGAACTGTACCTAGGAATTGTGTGGCTTCCTACTTTCCAGTGGTCCTTCCTTAGTGTCAGAGATAAGCATATCCATATTCTGCAAAGGACATGAGAAGGTTTCTCTGCAGCTACTTAAACTTCTCTTGTTCTGTATAGCTCCCCCCTCCCTAGTACTCTGCCCCACAAATTCTGGTGGCCTCAGCCTCTCCTAACTTTGATTTTTTTCTTCTCAATTCGGTGAATCACTGGACTCTTTGATTCCTTACCTGAGCTATAGCCTGCAAACTCCTTGAGAGCATGATCTGGAGCAACCCGAAGGCTTACCTCCTTCTCTCCAGGATCACGGTCTCTGTTGTTCAAGGTCTGAAAATTATTGTTTTATATATTTTCTGGTTGACTGTGTTTAAATCCTATTACAATAAGTTTCTCATAAGCAGAAGTGAAAGTCAATTGTAGGTTGTTTCAATTTTAATTTTTTGTTTATCAGGTGAGGCTGGACGTTAAATATATATATATACACACACACATTATTGGCCTGCAAGTCGCCTTCTGTGAGTTGCTTGTTTATAATTCTTATAGACTTTTTTCTGTTAATTTTTCTTCCTAGCACTTGAAGCTCCTTCCTGGGTTTGCAGAATTTCCTATCGTTTGCATCTTGATATGAAGCAATAATAACAATGGCATCCATTGTCAAGGGCTGTGGAAGATAAGGTGCAGTTTTAGTGTCTAGTGTCCAGGAATGTTTGCTGTGTACCCTATAGTATCCAGAGGACCCATGTTATTGCTCAGCCTTTCTGGGAATTAGGGAAGCTGCCCAGGGGATGTGTGCTAAATTCACTTTATTCTCAAATCAGCAAGAGTTGGTTGATATTACTTGCAACTAAGAATATCCGCTAGTTAATATATTATACTAATTTTTTCTATTGACTTGTCTTCCTATTGAATTTTAGAAATTTTTATATACATTCTTTTATCTTTTCTGTCACTCCTCCCTGGTGAATGCTTATTTTTTCAACTTTTTTGATGCTGTATTTTAATTGAATATTCATATTTATCAATATTTTCTTCTACAGGTTGACCTTTTGTAATTGAATAATTCGTCCTACCATTAGATAATAAAAAGTCTTTTTTAAAAAAATATTTTGATCTTTGATCTGATTCTACTATGGGGTAGGAATAAACTCTTTTTTTCTGACCAGTTGTGCCACCCCATTTATTTTAGTACTCTTCTCACTAATCTTCAGTGCCACCACTCTTACGGCAAGTGCCCCATGTGATTGAGTTTGGTTTTGAATCCTTGTTCTCTTTTTTTGAACTATTTGTCTATCCTGGCACCAATGCACACAGTTTTGATTATCTTAGCTTATAACAACTATTGGTGTTTAGTAGGGTAAATGGCCCCAATCTGTTCTTCTTTTCCAGAATTGTCTTTGCTATCCTGAGAACTGTAGTCTCTAGTTTGTCTATACAAAGATGTATATACACACGTAAGCATCCTGCTCCAATTTAATTGCATTTGAATTAAATCTGTGTGTTAATTTGAGGGATCCTTGCATTATGATGAAATTGAGTTTTCTCATATAAGAATACAAGTTCTTTGTTCTATCTTTTGTGCCCTTCAGTATAATTTTTAAATTTTCACTATATGTTTCGTTCAATTATTTCTGATTTCTAGTGACGTTTTATTACTACTGTGAATGGTATAATTTCTTCTGTTGTGATATCTGGTTGGTTACCACAGATATATGGAAAGTCCTTAATTTATTGATTCTTGTATAAGATATCCTGCCAGACTCTCTTATTTCTAATAAAGGGTGAATACCCCTTATCCAAAATGCTTGGGACCAGAAGTGTTTCAGGTTTTGGATTTTTTTTGGATTGTTTGCATGTACATAATGAGATATCTTGGTATTGGGAGCCAAAAATAAACATGAAATTTATCTATGTTTCATATATGCTTTACACACGTAGCTTGCAGGTAATATCATACAGTATTTTAAGTAATTTTGTTTATGGAAAAAATTGTGTTAAATACTTAGGTATGGAATTTTCTACTCTGTGGCATCATGTTGGTGCTCACAAATTGCAAAATTGGGAACATTTCAGATTTTTAGTTTTTAGATTAGGAATGCTCAACCTGTAGTTTGACTGCAGAATTTATTTAATTTTCTATCTAGATAATTATAATATTGTAAAATAACAATTTACTTGATTAGCTTCCAATCCTTATGCTTTTATTTCTTCTTTTCTTTATTGTCTAGGCTCTGTATTTTATACAGTATTAGATAAGAGTAGTGATAGCAGGCATTCTTGTATTTTCTTTAAAATAATGAGACAATGTCTAAAATTTACCATTAAGTATAATGCCAGTTTTGGATAGATAAACTTTAAGTTAAAGAAGTTTCCTTCTATTTATAGTTTGATTGACTGTTGGGTTTCAAATGAGTTTCCTTTATATGTTCAGATATAATATAATTTGTTCTTTGTTTGTTAACATTCGTTAATATGCTAATTTATGTGATAGTTTTTTCTGATACTATACATACTTTGAATTCTTGTGATAAATCCAACTTAGTTCAGATGCATTTCTTTCCACTGCACCATTTAGTTGTTAGGTTGGTGCAAAAGTAATTGCGGTTTTTGTCATTGAAAGTAATGGCAAATGTCATTTTATTTAGGAATTTTGCGTCTATATTCATTACTGGGTTTGGTTTGTAATTTTTTTTAACATGTATTTTACATGTTTTATTTTTATATTAGGATTTTACTAACCTTGTAATATAAATGAGGCAACTTTAATAAAAAAATTTAAAACCGTTTGCATGAAAAAGATATTTTTGTTCATTGAAAGTCTGATAAAATCCCATCTGGAAACCTGTTTGGGCCCAGATGCTTTTTCCTTTTCGGAGTGAGATTTTTGATTATTGGTTTGACTTTTTAAATGGTTATTATACTATTTAGGCTTTCTACATCTTCTGAGGTAAATTTTCATAACTTATAATTCTCTTATAAAAGTTTTCATCTCATCAGGTTTTTCTAAAGTTTCTCATAGTATTTGCTTATTACCTTTAAAAATTAGATTTGCATTTGTAGCCTTGCCTTTTTTCATTTTTAATGTTATTTGTGCATTTACTCTCCTTTGATTGGTAGTGAAAGAGGGTTGTATATTTTTAATTTTTTTTTTTAGAATATTGGATTTTGCTGATTGTTTTATTCTTTAACCTTATTTTCTATTATTATATTTTTCTTTATGATTTACTCCTTTTACTTTCTCCAGAGAAAGTTTCCTCAGTTTTTCTTTGTTTGGCCTCTATGATTTAATACGAAAGTAATTTATATTAGCTTTTTTTTCCTGTCTTTTTTGTAAACACATTTAAGACTATAGATTTCCCTCTATCTAAACACTCATTTAGCTATTTCACATTAGTTTTGATATGTTGCCCCTTTGCTGATATTTCTTAATATTTTAATTTATAAAATTAATTCATATGTTATAAATGTTCACAATTTCTATTAGATTTCCTTTTTAACACACATTCAGGAACACATTTTTTCATTTCCATAGTGCTTGTTTACTATATTTTTTATTGATTTTGTAATATGCTATGTCACCGAATTTCTAAATCAAAATATTTAAGGCTGCCATGGTTTGAGAAACAGTACTCTGGGTGCTCAATACTGAGGTAAGAGAAATTTTTTTCCCTTGGATTCTTATCTGAAGAGTCTGTGCTGTAAAATTAACAAAGTAATTAGGAAGAATCATGTAAGAAACCAAGACTTTTCCTTGGGATGATTCATATTACATTCTTCAACAAAGCCAAAAACAATTTTCTATATAGCTTAACATATTGCTAACTTATGAATTATAAATAATATAAGAAGTTAAAATGAGACTTTCATAACACAGTATTCTTTATTCAAGAAATAGACTCTGAAATGCAGAAGACTGTATTCTGTAGATCCCAATGCATAGGTTCTGCAGGTTGTATATATCTAGGATTTACTTGAAGAGTACTTTCTTGAATAACATGGCAATAAGGAACAGGGGAACTGCTCAAAAGTCAACTCCCCGAGGATAATCCTAGAAGAAGGATCATCTTTGCTCTGTTTCTTTTTTCAAAACAGGGGGGAAAGAGATTATTATTATAGGAGATAAAGGTGAGGTGTTTGGAAAACAGGAGAAGTAGGTGAAAATTACCCTCATGGAGCTTGGTTTTTCTCATTAAGGCTCCAGCTTTCCTTCTGTGTAATGTTTTCTATTTGATCAGTTTTTTTTCTCCCTTTGTTAAGTAAAAGATTATGAGGGAAGTGACCCTGAGGCAGAAGACCTGAATTTCAGGGAGACTTTGCCTTCATCAAGTCAGAAAAGCACACGTAGATCAAAGGTAAGACTAGGATCTCTAGTAATTTTGGCTAATACCTAAATTGCTGACTATGCTCTCTGGGAAACAGATATATATTTTGTTCTCACCAAAATGATATCTTAAGTCTTCGTCACTGTATTGTTGACAATGACCAAAATAGGAATTTGAAAGAGTGAAACTTTTTGCAAAGTTTCTAATGAATTGCATTTTGTAATGAAAATTCCTTTCAGTGCTACTCTGGAAATTTTACTGGCACTTGTTTTGTCTTTCTAATGAAGATACAAAATAAATTCCACATGAAGTATGAAGCACCTTTAGATGTATTGATTGTGGACTTTTTCATTGTTTGAGATAGCATGATTGGGAGTCTCCCAACTATGGAAAAGTAGAGGGCTGTGAAAAGTCTGTGACAAAACCTCTTACTTCCACACATTCCCCCATTTATGGAGATAGTGCTAGGCTTAGAGCACAAAAAAAGGGAAATGAATTTTAGTCTGCTGGGTGCTTTGCATTTTTTTTCTCTTACCTAGTCAACTGGAGCTTTGGAACTGCCATGATGATGCTGGCCTTGTGCCTCCTTCCTGTAAGTTAGAGCAGTAATAGGGATAAAGTCAGTACATAGACCAAATACTGCTACCACTTCCCCTGTTCAGTTGCCACCTGCACCCCAAGTGAGCAGGAGTGAAGCTTTTAAAAATGACATTGTAACTTGGTTATTATCTCCTGTGCATTCTCTGTTATACTTAAGATGGCCACATCAGGGCTACCATCACATCTTTGGCTGGGATTCTCTGGCTGTTAGTGCTGTGTTGGGCTCTCAGCTCACTTTCGATACTTTTCTCTGATCAGAGTGGTTTTCTCTTTGAAGCAGAGATGATTTGAAAGCTTCACAGAATGGCCCAAGTAGATCCTTTGTATAGTTTTATTTGACTTCTTCTAGAACTGAGCATATTTTGTGATTTTGTTTATATTTTTACTTTTGGGTATTTTTTTTCTTGCCAAATTATAGCTTGGCCTATCTGGGATGAATTCTGATATGCTTTAAACTTTAAAGCTATATAATATTAGTGGATAATAACATTTAATGCATAAAGATACCACTTATTTCCAATTTAAGTTTAAAAATTTATATAACTTAATTTCAGTAATAATCCCAAAGTTATTTTTGTGTGTGAATGAGATTTGATCAGCCAATTCATAAGATGTGCTTGAGAAAATAGAAGATGAAGTATGGCAAGACAGTATCAGAGAAGAAAGGAAGGAAATGTATGTATATGGTGGTTGAGGCACTGGCACTGCAAGTTATCAAGACTGAAGTCTCTCTAGTGCAAACTTGGGCAGTACAACGTGGAGAAATACTTAGAATTAGGAGATTAGATGGTGCAAGTACTAAAGATAAATATAGTGGCAGGAATTTTATATTCACAGTAAACAAAACATGGTAAACACTTATAAGAATCCCTTCTAGGCTGAAATGATTATTTTTTCTCAAATGAAGCTTTTAAAAAATTTAGTTTTGAAAAATCATTTGAGCAATTCAATATAAATAACTTCTATTTGCATAGTATTCTATACTTTTGATAGATTGGAAAATATTTAATACAGAGATATACAATTAAGTGATTTTCTAGGAGCGGACATTATACTATGTGATTGTGGTTATAATTCCATTACTGCAGATCCTTTTGTTCTTCTTTTAAGTATCTGTAGAAATCATATTTCTTTTAAACCATATTTTTCTAAAACCAGGGCTATAATTTGTTTCCTTTCTTATGTCTGTAGGTTTTTGAAAATAAAGTTAACTCAGAGAAGGTAAAACTTTCTCTTCAGAATTTCTCACATAATTCTCATGAGGATTTTTCTGAAGCACCTTCAGAAAGGTATAACTAATATGCTTATTTAGTGAGTTTTCTGTTTATGTTACTTATATTCATAGCTAGCCCTCTGCATGGAGACTGTGAATAATGGCCCTCAAATGTTTAATTTTTCAAGATACAGCTTTTTATAAACCTGATTTAGCTTTATTAGAAATATGTTTACGATCTCATAAGTGTGGTAATTAACATAAGAGAAAAGTATTCTTGAAAGATTTGATTTCTCTATCCTTCAGTAGTTACACAACTCCAAAGCTTTTGCAAATATGCTTGGAGCTTTTGAGGTGGTCAGAGTACTTGAGGTAGCATGAAGCTCTGGGTACATCACTAAATTTTATTAGAAATTTGATCTGTTTTCAGAAAGAAAATTATGCACTATAAACAATAGTATTGTTAGTATGGTGAATTTCTGGTAGCACATATATATGTATATGTATATGTGTGTGTATATATATATATATATATTTAAATTTATTTATTATACTTTAAGTTCTGGAGTACATGTGCAGATCTTGCAAGATTGTTACATAGGTGTACACGTGCCATGTGGTGGTTTGCTGCATCCATTGCCCCGTCATCTACATTAGGTATTTCTCCTAGTGCTATCCCTCCCCAATCTCCCAATCCTCTGCTGTTCCTCCCCTAGACCCCCACCCCCTAGGCCCCAGCATGTGATGTCCCCCTTCCTGTATCTGTGTGTTCTCATTGTTCAACACCCACTTATGAGTGAGAGCATGCTGTGTTTGGTTTTCTGTTTTGTGTTGGTTTGCTGAGAATGATGGTTTCCAGTTTCATCCATGTCCCTGCAAAGGACATGAACTCATCCCTTTTTATGGCTGCATAGTATTCCATGATATATATGTGCCCCATTTTCTTTATCCAGTCTGTCTTTGATGGATATTTGGGTTGGTTCCCAGTCTTTGCTATTGTGAACAGTGCCACAATAAACATATGTGTGCATGTGTCTTTATAATAGAATGATTTATAATCCTTTGGATATAGACCCAGTAATGGGATTGCTGGGTCAATGGTATTTCTAGTTCTAGATCCTTGAGGAATCACCACACTGTCTTCCACAATGGTTGAACTAATTTACACTCCCACCAACAATGTAAAAGCATTCCTGTTTCTCTACATCCTCTCTAGGATCTGTTGTCTCCTGATTTTTTAATGATCCCCATTCTAAATGGTGTGGGGTGATATCTCAGTGTGGTTTTGATTTGCATTTCTTTAATGACCAGTGATAAGCTTTTTTTCATATGTTTGTTGGCTACATAAAAGTCTTCTTTTGAAAAGTGTCTGTCCATATCCTTTGCCTACTTTTTGGTGGGGTTGTTTGTTAAGTTCTTTGTAGATTCTGGATATTAGCCCTTTGTCAGATGGGTAGAATGCAAAATTTTTTTTCCCATTCTGTTGGTTGCTGGTTCACTCTATTGGTAATTTCTCTTCCTGTGCAGAAGTTCTCAAGTTTAATTAGATCCCATTTGTTTATTTTGGCTTTTGTTGCCATTGCTTTTGGTGTTTCAGTTATAAAGTCCTTGCCCATGCCTATGTCCTGAATGGTATTGCCTAGGTTTTCTTCTAGAGTTTTTATAGTGTTAGGTCTCATGTTTAAATCTTTAATCCACATATATTTTAAAAATTTAAAGTACCTGAAGAACAGCAAATTTAAGAAAATGAAAGAAATCTAATTTTTCATGCTAATAAAATATTCAAATTTAGGTGTTATAAGCAAAAACATCAGATGAGGAAACATTTTATTAAGCCATATTTCCTTGGAGATTTATCAGTAATATTAGCTATACTCACTGGAATAGCAATATATAAGAATGTGTATATTCTTTATATTGTGTTTTTGTATGTGTATATGTATCAAATTAGTATGTACAACTTTAATTTTTTTTATTTAATGAAGTGCATTAAATAAACAAGTAAGTAATAGTAATTCCAAAGGCATTTTGAGATTCTGTGATATACTCAGCACTGTACACAAATACAACCTACTACATATTTCTTGCTCTTTAGTTCACAGTTTAATTAGGAAAACAGATATATAAAAGTCAAATTGAAGTACAATGTAGTAAATATTATTTTAGAGTTAAAATCCAAAGATTGTGGGTACAGAAGACTGAGAACTATGCATGAGGGAAGTTTCTCACAAGCTTCTTTGAAGAAGATATTTTAGTTGAATTTGGGATTTAATTAAATAGCAGGTGAAAAGGAGAAGAGCATTTCAGGTAAGAGGAGGAAGTTTGAGCAAGGGTAAGGAGTTGTGAAAATATCTTACTAATGGGGAGAAATATCAGGTGCCAAGAGTTGTAGGGCATGTGTGCCCTACCCTAAACTTATGTGTTGGATAAGGGGCCTTGATTTATCCTGATATTGGTTGGGCATGTATAATTGTGTATTTTAGGAAGAATTTTCTCTAAACATTGAAGATTAGATGCGTCAGTCAAATTAGGATTTTGCTAGGTAGGGCTGCAAATGAAAGTACAACAAGAGCCAAGTAGATAGCATTAGCGAGTCAGTTGACTATGGAGAGGTTGGAAAGGAAACAGAACGTGGGTATGGGTTAGCATTTGAAAAATCTGTTCACAATTAGTAGCTAGACAGAGTTTAAATCATTTCCTATTTTTAAGATAGAGAAAATTGAGTATTTTTATGATATGAAAGAATTTGTAGATAGGGAGAGATTAATAGTATATTTAAGAAAATATAAGTTATAGTAAAGTACCTCAGAGGAGGTGGAAGGAATGGGATTAAGAACATAGAAGGATGAATTTTGAACAGGCAGAAAGTAAGGAATATCAAAGATATTGATGCATCTAAGTAAACGTTTAAAAAGATAATGAAAGAATTTCTATTTTCTGGCTTGCATTTTCTAGAAGAAGCTACATTTTTACTAAGGCAGAGTATTAAAATAAGGACTATGAGAGGATGGTGGCTTGGAATTAGCTGCCATGGAAGAGTGATACAGGAAAACAACCAGGGGCATGCTGGTGTTTTCCAAATGGATCTCTGCCGATATTAGAAAGCCCGGCGACTCCAGTGCTTCCCTCCCACAGCCTAGGTAAAGGAGGGGAGAAGATAAGGTGAATGGATCTGAGGTGGATCCATCCATAGAAGCTAAGGTGGATGGATCTGAGGGGACTAGTTTGCAAGGTAAAGGTAATGGAGAAGATGGAGTTTATGATCAGACATTGGGATTTTGGAATTATCTCAGAAGTGGGCCAGTTTCAGGTGATGACAATGGGAGTGGATGGCTGAATTGAAATGGAAGTGAATGTCAATTAAATAATCAATAAAGATGATTAGAAAGTATTTCTTAAATGTACTATTCTTTGAAACCATGGGCAAATATATACATTTCTTTTCTAGTGACAGCAATCCTAGCATGTGGACAGCCAGAGGCCGCCTCAGAAGAGACAGGTGGAGCAGTGAGGATGAGGAGCGTGCAGGGCCCTCACAGGCTGTCTCCCCTTTGCCTTCTGGTATGATATCATCCTATTTGTAGTAGCAAGTTCTTGAAGAGGCTCTATTATATTAGATATTTCTAATACAACTGAAAGAAAGAGCTAGGAAAAACTTCAAAAAATGGGAATATATGGTTTTCTAGGAATTTGTTTTAAAAATTAAAAAATGCCCACACTCCATATTCAAAATGGTAAATTTCTGCCCTTTCTTCAAGTATTTTAATGTATTAAATAGATTAGTTTCATAAAATCCATTTTTTTTAAAAGCTAGGTATTTTATAGATTTGAAAAATAACCTGCTAATTTCTTTTTTAAAAATTTGTTGTACAATATATGCTTTATAAGTAAAATAATAACATTTTTGGATTATTAATTATGTTTATAATGGGAAAAAAATAAATGTCTAGTAAATTATAACACTGAAGAATATTTCAGAACTTTTTGTGTATACGTTTTTACATGTATATAAATATAAAGGTAATTAGAACTATGAATATATACCTAATCTATATGTGTATGTATATATATTCATAAAATTTGTGTTTGTAAACTTGGGGGATCACATGCACACTTCAGAAACCTTGGAGTTGGAGAGGATCTTAGAGGCCATCCATAACCAACATCCCATTAAATGTTGAAAACATCTCTAATGACTTCATATGAAAAATATCAAACCCAATTAAGACAATATCACATTATGCAATTATCAAAATGCAGATCTTATACAAAAATAGTTTATAAGAACATGCCTTTATAAAATGAGACATAGTTTTTAATTAATTAAAACGTGCTTAATTAAACTGAGGCATACACTAAAATTCATCCTTTTAGCATATGGTTCTATGAGGTTTGACTAAGGTTTACCACTACAATCAAGGTATAGTTCATTTCTATCTCCCATAAATTTCTCTTGTAACTCTTTGTAGTCAACTCTTAACCCAGTGCCTGCCAACCAGCAATCTGTTTTCATTCTCTTTTGACTTTTTCAAGGTGTTATATAAATGGGACCATAAATATGTAGACTTTTGAGTCCAACTTCTTAGCATAATTCTTTTGATGTTCATCTGTGTCATTGCATTTATCAGTATTTAATTTCTTTTTTATTGAATAGTATTCCATTCACCAGTTGAAGGACACTGGGTCGTTTCCAGATTTTGGCAATTATGGATAAAAGTACTACAGATAATCACAAACTTTGTGTAAACATAAGTTTCCATTACTTTAAGGTAAATACCTAGGAGTGGGATTTCTGGGTCATAAATGTGTAACAGACAAACTGTATTCCAAAGATGCTGTACTAATATTGTTGGTGGCTTTTTACTTTTTTTTTCTCCTACTGTTTTTACTCTTTTTATTTCAGTTAGGTAATTTCTGTCAACCTGTTTTCAAGTTTACTGATTCCTTTCTTGGTCATGTTGAGTCTACTAATGAACCCATTGAAAGCATATAGTGTTTTTTATGTACAACATTTCCATTTGACATCTTCCTACAGATTCTGTCTCTGTTGCTAATGCATTTTGTCTGAATTTTTCATGAGAGCTTAAACATGTTAATGATAGTTATTTAAAATTCCCTCTTGGATAACTCTGACAGATGGGTTGTTGCTATTTTTTCCGTGATTGCCTTGCTTTTTGACACTGGTTTCTGTTGTTGCAGCTGCTGCATCTTCCTTATGTGTCTATGTATTTGATTGAGTGTTGGTACTGGATGCAGAATAAAAGAGACTGAAGTAAATAGAATTTATGCCTGGAAATAGTCATGCCTATTCCTCTGCTATGCCATTTAAGACACGAGCTGGATTTTGGTTTTGTGTTGCTGTCATTTGGCTTAGACTTAGAATTGGCTTAGAATTCCTTAAGATTTAACTTGTGTGCAGGGTGGCAGCTGGGATGCTAAAGAGGTTTTTTTTTTTTGGCCTTTCTATTTCATCCTCAGCTTTAGGCCTATCCTTGAGAAGGGCTCTCTCTCCTCTTGCCCATCTTCCAGCAGTAGACTGGTGTTTGCTTGCCTCAGGAAGAAGGGCCAAGTCATTCTCTGTTATCCTGTTCCATTCTCAGCCTTAGGCAGGTCCTCTGTCCCTGTCCTCAGTGATGGTCTTGGTCAGTGGTACCACCCCTTCTCATGGTATCCAGACTCTGCCTGATACCTTTGGCAAGTCTACAGTTGAGAAGGTTTCCTTCTTCACTTAGTGTAGTGATAGGAGGTTTGTAACAATGATGACATCAAATCCTGGGCTCAAGACTGCTTTCTGCACCTTCTCCGGGAATAGAGGGATTTTGTTTGCTCTTTTCCCAACTGCAGTGGGTCTGCACTTATACATAGCAGGGATTGTTGCTCCTCCTCCTTCAGTGTAAGACTTTTGTCCTGGGGGAAAGAGGTCTAAGTGGGGCTTTATGCATTTTCTACCATGACAGTAGCTCCCCTCCTTCAGCCTTACCCTTCTAAGGGACTGGTTCTTCCCCTCTCCTGCTCAGCTCTCAGTCTTTCTTATGAGCAGCTGTTGGAGGTCTGTGAATTTGAGTCTGCAAACGTGTGCAGGTTCTCTTTGTGCCTATAGCTTTATGCTGTTCTGTACTGTCACACTGGCTCACATCCAGCCATCAGCAGTGCATTACATTGTATGCCTGAATACTTCTTTCCCATTTGTATAGTGCCTGGTATGTTTCTCCCATGAACAGCCACAGGGAGCCAGTGTTCGTGTCCTGTCACTCCTTAGGAGAGTTCTTTCCTTAGATTTCAAACTACTTGGTTGACCTGCAATCTCAGCTCTCTGATGGGTTCAATAAAATTTTGATTTAGTATTTTTATCAACTTGTATATATTGTTATTGTTAGGGTGTGAGTGATGCTCATACCAGCTTTCTATATTTAGGCAGATGTGGAATTTTGAATATAAATATATTTTTAAAATAAAATACACATTCCTTTGCAAACAGAGACTACCATGTCTTAGCTGTTAGAGTAAGGCCAGTTCCTAGGGAAAAGTAGATAGACACTGCTTTTTTCTTTCTCAGTACCCTCCTTTTCAGTTTCAGTTTAGGACTATGGTTAGGCTCCTCCTGGGATCTCTTACTAAGGCCTATGCTGACAAGGGATTAATGCCTAGAAAATATAAATAACTGCATATTTATAAGTAAAAGATAACCAAATAGAAAAATTGGCAAAATACATTAACAGGCATTTCACAGAAGAGAAAATGTGAAAAAGTGATTTAACCTAATTTTGAATCAGGGGACTGAAAATTAAATCATGGTGAAATAATAATTTACATTGACTAGATTGTTTTCATTTTTTAAAATGTGATAATAGTTGATATTGGTGAGTATGTGGCTTGATGGAAACCATTTTGGAAAATAATTTGGTATTTTTTTTAGTGTGTACATACCTTATGTCCTAGCAATTTCCTTCCTGGTTATTTAGCTTAGAGAAACTCTTGCCCTTTTGTACCAGAAGACATATGCAAGAATGTCCATACCGGGCTTGTTTATAATAGACTTCAACTGCAAGCAACTCAGATATCTGTCAACACTAGCATTTATGAATTAGATATTGTATTTTGTATAATGTGAAGATGAATAAACTCAGATGCAGTCTCAGCAAAAAAGTCAAGATTTAAAACAAAATAATTTATATAAATTTGCAAAATATGCAAAACAGCATAAAGGGTAAATAAAACAAACAAAAGGAATGATAGCACAATTCAGAATAGTTACTCCCTGAGGGAGGAGGACAAAGAATGAATTCTGGAAGGGGCCACAGGAGCATCGGGAGAAAGGCTAATGTTCTGTTTTAAATTGGGTATGTATTGTTCTTTTTCTTAAAGATATTTCACTTAACGATTATTTGATACCTATTTAGTATTTAATAAAAAATTTAAAAGCCAAAATTAAAATTAAATTATAAAGATAAAATATACGAATAGTTTAATGAAAATCAATATAGGATAATATAGAGAAAAAGTTAATAATTTGCTCCCATCATCTTTAATCCTGATTCAAAGGCAACCAATATTAATAGTTTATGTATGAATACACAAGGATATAAAAACATTTTCTGTTTTAACTTTAAATAAAAATTGATGTGTGCTTTACAACTCTACAATTACTCTACAACCTTAGTTTTTTTAAACTTAAACTATATCATGTACATAAAGACATATTCTAACATAGGATTAATAGTTGTCTAATATTTCATTGTGTGGAAATACCATAGCATAGTCACCCATTCTCCAATTGACTTTTTCTGCAATATATATTTTTACATGTACTTCCTATGTACTGGTACTTTGATTTTGGTTAGATTCCCTAAAGTAGGATTGCTAAGTCAAAGTTTATGTTCATTTTATATTTTAATGGACAATACCAGATTCCTTTCCAAAAGCTTAGAGAAATTTATTGTTACCCTAAGGTGTTTGGGGTGGTTCAATTTTCTCACTTTCCTGTTATCATTAGATAACCCATTTTCCAATTTTTGCTAATCTGATGGATGAAAAATAGCATCTCCTTATTATTTAGATTTTCATTGTCTTGATTGCTAGTAGGATCGAGTATCTTTTTTTTTTTTTTTTGAGTCAGAGTCTTGCTCTGTTGCCCAGGCTGGAGTGCAATAGCGCAATGTTGGCTCATTGCAACCCCCGCCTCCTGGGTTTAAACAACTCTCCTGCCTCAGCATCTTGAGTAGCTGGGGCTACAGGCACATGCCATCATGCCTGGCTAAATTTTGTATTTTTAGTAGAGATGGAGTTTCACTGTGTTGGCCAGGCTGGTCTCAAACTCCTGACCTCATGATCCAACCGCCTTGGCCTCCCAAAGTGCTGGGATTACAGGCGTGAACCATCATGCCTAGCCAGGATCAAGTATCTTAATATGTGTTTATTAACGTCCTCTTAGATTTGCATATTTATAAACTTTGTTCATTCTTTTTCTTTTCTTATTAATTTGTAGGCGCTCTTCACAAGTTGGAAATCTTAAGATGTTGCCTATCTGAGAAATGTACTGTAAATTGTAACCCTCAATTCTA